CTTTTTTAGTAAGTACTCGGTATTCTGGATTATGAATACCATTTCTAGTGTTTTGGTAGTTTTCAGTAACTATCTTATTATGAGTTTTGATCGATAGCATAGTGTAAACCCCAAAGTCAGGTAAAACCACTTTAGACCAACAATGTCGGCCAAAAGTGCTTTTAATCGATTATGAGCTTTGACTGCAACATATGCAACATATTTCTTTACTTTACGTTAACCATTTACGACGAAAAAGTTTGAGATATTACCCTATCCCTCCCCGAGACCAACAGCAGGGGTATTGCGTATCTTGAAAAGTGACAGTCGGTTTTTTGACATTATATAGGATTTTCTGCCAGATGTCAGCTTAGCACTACCTGTTGTGTTCTCGTTCCGTAGCTGTACGTGTTGCCTAAGCGTCATGATCCTTCAACTATCAATGTTTGGCTCTGATTTGCTGTAACATCTACTTCAGAGATGACATTATTGGAGGTCTAAGCTGTAAGTTGTATACTATGGAAACGGCGGTGCACCTGCCTAGTGAATATTTGTGTGCTAATAATCTACGTTGATGATAATTATTCCATTGATTTCTTGTCGCAAATCCTCGTACTTGAGATGTATGTAAAGCTAAAAATTAGTTGCGCATCCGCTTTCCCTTATTCAACCTGGAAATTACGTATGCAAATTTGCTGGATTCCAAAAAGAGAGAATAAGAAAGAAAATCCCTGAAGGTATATTAAAACTAACAGGTGAGGAAATATGGTACATACAAGAATATTAAAAATAGTTGCTAATTTTTCTGTGATGTGGCTTAATTACACGCAACGCGGGTGCATTGTTGATTTCCCGTGATGCTTCTCAAAGTTTGTGAAAACGCAAAAAAGGGGAAAATCGTAATGTATAATTTGGAACATATCCTCTCTTCAGAAAGGACAACACAACTAATAGATATATTTCATGGGCAGCATATTAAGTAATAATTTTCTCACATAGCGAATATCACTGATTTTATACACATGCAGACCAATACACACAGTACATAGATAAGTATATAACACATATTATAATCTGTTCCATTGAAACAAGCTACTTTCCCGACAAGTGGAAAATCTCCATAACAAAACCATTACCAAAAATAACTAATCCATTAAGTTTTAACGAACTTCGTGTGATAAATATACTGCCTGCTTTGTCAAAGATATTTGAAAGAGTGCCGTATGAAAAAATGTATGACCTTTGTATGAGTAACAATATTATTTCTGGTACTCAGTGTGGTTTTCGTAAAAATTTTGGTACATCAACAAACGTACTCGATGACATATTAAGAGCAAATGATAAAAAGATGAGTTCAGTTTTGGTACTTCTAGACTTTTCAAAAGCTTCTGATACCATTAATCATGAATTGAAGGGTCGGCCGGAACAACGTTGTATGTATCAAAAAAGCTCAGTGGCCGCAATTAAGAAAAACAAATTTGAACCATTTTTTTCAAATTACTGCGTCTATAGTTGGCCAGCACAATAAAGGAACAATAGTTATACAAGGTTATTGTAATTTAAAAATGTGACACCTATTTTGCAGCAATGGGAACCATTTTTATAGAAAACGCATGTAACAAGGTTGTATGATCACGTTACTTACAACGTTGTTACAGGGAGACTTTAAATGACTATAAGCAAAACAAGTATTTTCAGCAGTTCTATTAATTAAGGAAACCAAAGAACACAGTAACATATTTTTAATAACAAAAAAATACGCTCTAAGTTCATCAACGTGTTTCGAAACCAAAACTGAAACTTAAATAAGTAAGCGGAATATAATCACTCATATCCTCAAGGTTTTTTAATTTTTCATCTTTGATTGGAAGAAGGTTGTGATACATTATAGATAATTTTTCAGATGATATGATATCAGTGGCAAAAGTCAGTTTCTTTTCTTTTACGATTGCTTATGGGAAATGAATTCCAGGGCTGCATAATATTATGAGATTTTCTCATTCTCAAAGTAGCTGGGGAATCAGCGGTAAGTTGCAGCCACAATCCTTGTGTAATTTTACATTTGGGGTATTTCCATATACAATATTACAAAGCTGTTAAATTCTCAGAAGGCTTGGTGCATCCAGGCGCCTTTAAAAGGATTTGTAACTTTGGCTTTAGCAATCACATTGACCCACTGGAATGGTTCATAAACCATAGATATTCTTATTTGTTTACGTACATACACCGTTGTTACGCGGAAGACTGAAATGGCGCGCTTTACAAATTCGCGTCACAGTGATTGATGCGAGTAAACAGGTGGGTCTATATTATCAACGGGTCCCAATAGGCACATACTACGTTGTTTTACGGAAATCTCATTTTATAGAAAAATGTTATATACAACGTTGTTCCGGCCGGCCCTTCAATTGTTGGTAGCTAAACTTCAGTACTATGGCTTTAATAACGAAGCATGTTTGCTTTTAAGATCATATTTGACAGGAAGGTATCAATCGATTCTATCAAATGACACATTCTCAGACAAAACGAAGATCCTATCGGGAGTTCCTCAGGGATCAATATTGGGCCCCTTGTTATTTTTAATTTATACCTACATCTGATATCCTTACGGCTTTAAAGTTTTGTAAAGTTCAGGCCTTCGCAGATGACACCCAGGTTTATTGTTTTTTTGATATTGAGGATTACAAATATTACGAAAATTGTATAAATGAGGGCATTGACACCTTGAACAATCTCTCATTAGGTCACAACTTAAAACTTAATCCGGAAAAATCGCATGTAATGATTTTTGGTAAGAAATCTAAGACTGAATTTTTGAAAGCTAATCTCAATATAATGGCTTATAATTCAAAATTACAAAAAATCTCGGTATAGTCTTATGCAAAAATCATTTTGTTCTCTAAAAGTTTTGTATAATGACAGACACATACTAAACAGATCACTAAAAAAATTGTGTGAATCCCTAATTCTTTCCAATTTCAGTTATTGCGATTTTGTCTATGGGTTTTGCTTAGATCAGGCAAGTAGGGGTCGGATTCAAAAGATGCAAAATGCGTGCCTCAAGTTTATCTATGGTCTGCGTAGGTTTGATCATATATCTCATTTATATTAAGAAATTAAATGGCTTAAAATGAATGAGCGTCGCACTCTAATTTTCTAATTTTTTATTAAAAATTATAAACACTCCAGGTTCATCTGATTCTATAACAAAACGCTTAATTTTCCGACATTCTGTTCATGATATAAATGTAAGATATTTAAAAAATTAACTATGCCGCTTCATAGTAGTGCATTGTTTCAACGATCATTCTCATACAATGCTGTTAAACAATTTAGTTCAATTCCCAACCAGTTCCTTAATCTTTCTCTTTCAAGTTACAAAATACAATATAAGAAATATTTGCTAAATAAAAATCTGAACAAACTTTTTTAGAATAGAGATTGAAGTTTATAATATAGTAGTATATAGTATAAGTAGAAAAAATATGTCAAGCACATTTTATAGTAACCAGTAACCAAATTTTATAGTGACCAGTATTAATTAATATCTTTTTGAAATTTGAATATACTTTCAGTCCATTTAGTGTTAACACGTGATTATTATTATGATTATTCTGTATTGTTGTTTAAGACTTATTACTATTATTATTTTTTTTTGTCTTATTTTGGTTCAGTAGAGTAGCTTTAAGCTAAACTTGCGCCAATATTAGGCAATGTATTCTGGATTTTTTTTTCTAAATTACCTTTGTAAAAAGATTATTTTATTTATTCAATAAAGTCATTTATTATTATTATTAGATATTATTATTATTATTACACACAATCATCCAGATGTGATACACTGCTACTCAACCACACATCTTCTAAGACTATAGACTATAGACTACAGATTATCTCGGCATTCTGCAACTAGCAAAGCATGATGCAGAACTGACTTGCAGCTTGTAACATGGTCATTGAGCGTGTCGTGTCGTTGAGTCATTGCACACTAGGAACTATCTAGTCAGCAGGCAGCAAGTCGACATTTTGTCGTTTTTTTACGGCTTATAGGATTTTTACGTGATAGCCCTGGCGGCCCCACCCGAACTCAGGTCCTGCATACGACATACCGTACTGCTGTAAAGAGCATAAGAGGTTGAGATGGTCGTAACATATCATGACTCCCTGACTGTGTACTCATACTCATTTGGTTCTTTCGCGAGCTTCTCAAAGAAAAAAAAATAGTATCAAACAAGTTGAATCTATACCATCCACGATACGCGCCTATCAGTTTGTAAAGGATTAGGTTTGGCAGAAGCTAGCCCTTCTAAAAAAAGATGGCTACGAACATGTAAAAAAATTAAATGACCTTCCTCCTCTCCCTGAGAGGAATTGCTGCAGACGCACATGGTCGTTGCGATGGCCAGTCCCGCGCGAATGACAAAATTGGCCTTTACCATGTACAGTGCACGTAGTTCACAGTAGTGTGCAAGCAATTGCCGACCGCGTACGACCACCGATGATGACGCTTGTTCATCGAAGGACGACGTCGCACGTATCGACACCCGACTATAGGAGATAATTTAAAGGGTAAATGTAGGGTGACATCTATGATGAGTGGCGGGGTTGAAAAAAATTGAGATATACCCTCTCCCTAAAATAGTCAGGATAGTCTGGAACGTCAGAAACCGTTGATGTTTAAGCGAGTTTTTTTTATTAATGGCCTTTTTCTCCGCCGCCACTGGATCGATTTTCAAAAAGTACAAAGCTTTTGCGTCCTTGGCATAGTAGTAACATTGTGTGAAAATTTCATCGAAATTCGAGCGGTACTTCTCAAGTTATATATATATATATATATATATATATATATATGCACATAAGTTCCAAAAAACTCTGATCTTCGAAAATCATCGCGATTACAGTACTTCCCCGCCAGTGGGCGTGGGAAGTAATACGGTGCAATTTATTTTGCACCTGCATGCACAAAGGAAGCGTTCTCTGGCTCTCTGTTGCCCGTGGGCACCAAGGCGTCTGTGCTGTCCATGTGCAATTCGTCAAGCAGCAACGGACACCCGCCTGTCACCGCTGAGAACCATCGGCCGCGAATCACGCCACTCGCGAAACGCCGAATGGCAGTGGGAGACGCCGGGTGGCCTGATAATGCACGCCGCGACGCCGATCAACGGTTTCAGGACAACGAGCAACGTTGCCAAATCTACGCTCTGAAATCAAGAAAACGTTTTCCTAAAACTGAAGGAGTAGATATCAAGCGCGGATCCGGGAGGGGGCAATTGCACCGTTGCTCGGGGGGAACCAAAGCCCTCAAACAGGATAAAAATGAGGAAAGGGAACAGAGAGATGAGGAAAGGTAAAAGGGAAAGGACAGAAGGAAAGAAATGAGATAGAAGGGATGGACACGAAGATGGAGGAGGGAAAATGAGAATGAAGTGTTATCTTATCTGTGTTACCGACCATGAGGCAACTTTGTCCCTCTCCACATCTGCTCGCAATCGCTGCAGCGAGTTATCTTTCATTTTGTTCAGAGTGCATATGTTTTCGCGCTCTAGTACGGATACATGAATAAGCCGGACTGGTTCACCAGTCGGTGCGCTTACATAGGAAGGAAGACGCGGGTCGAAGATTTCTCTATCATTCAAGTTTTAAATGCAAAGGTACGGGTAAATCTATGAAGTGTGAAACATGGCTAATAGGTGCATATAATTACCTAGGTTGAGAGTGTACAAATATACTAAGATCAAAAATATTCCTATACCCTCCTCCACCCCCTGTAACTCTCAACTCTCAAATTTCAACCCCTACAAAAATTTTTCGAAAAACGATCAGGACTCTCTAAAGCGTCAAAAAACGAAGTTTGGCGATCTTTTTTTTCGTGTTTTTGTCCCTAGCTCCACCACCACTAGACCGATTTTCAAAATCCGAAAACAACCAAACACACAATCAACAAACAATCAAAACCTTGATTAAAAATTTCCTCAAAATCCGAGCGGTACTTCTCAAGGTATAGGCGATTATAGACGGCAGATAGACAGATAGAAGAGACGAGTGACATGGTTTTTAGTGCTATACATGACACATAACATCCAAAAAACATAATATCTAAATTTCGAAATGTTTTGCGATTACAATACTTCCTCACCATTCTGGCATAGGAAGTAAAATCATTGAGATGGCAGGAAAGGTTGATGCTGAGATTCGCGTCCCAAGAAGGTGGTGAGGTCATGGTGGGTGTGCCAACTATGCCACTGACTCAGCAGGGAAGCACTTTAGGTTTTTAGTATTCAATCCATTTCTTATCCTTGACCTGAAGGAGAGGTTCCCACCTTCAGTCTTAAAAGTATTCAATCTACCGGTTAATCTCGTCGCGAAACCTCTCTCTGAAGCTGACCTAAGGCAAAACATTTAGCATCATTTCCCCTTTAATTCCATGTGAATCCTCTAAACTTACTTTATGGCATGAAAATGGAAGAATGATGATGAGGGAAAAGCATTGCCAATATCCTCTGGTGGCGTCCTTCAGTGCTGTGGCCCAATGATCTCTTCTTTGACCAAAATTTCAACCACGCTATCCGTCAGCAACGCAACAGCGGAAAGGTCCTTCTCAGCGCTGAGTCGTCTGAAGATTTCGTTGAGAAGCACCATTTCGTTGAGCGCTTATACATATCCATAGAGACATAGAGGTCGAGAGGTCGATATTGATAAGGTGATCAATCGATTTGCTAAGAGTGGTAACCACCGGACAGATTCAAATCTTTAATGCATTGATCATAAACTTGTCGTGACTCCACACTATTAAATGAATTTCATACTGATCTGGGAATTTATTATTTTACATTACTTACCCATATTTATTTATCTGTATTTACTTGCCTGAGAGTACGAGTATACTGTATTTGTTTAAGTAGGACCACTTTGTTGTTTGTTTTAAAAATTAAAATAAATGAGCAATCTATTCTCACACTGCTGTTTATTATTTCACTTCTTGATGACTTTGCAATAAGCGCAAACGGCTTGACAACACCCTCGAAAGTAGGCAACGCACACTACTTGCCCCAGTCTTCAAGACGTGAAGCTGGAACTGCGCCTGGTGGATACTATTACGAGGGTTATTTTTCAAATTATTTATAAATGTAAATTGTCATAAACTAAAATTTTATTTAAACATTTGTCATATTGGGGCGCCAGCTTTTGGATCCATCGTCAAATAATGCTGCCGCCTGACCGCTAAATCAGTTAGTCACTGTTTCTTTCAACATGTCATCATTTTCCAAGCGCTTTCCACAAAGAAATTCCTTAAGTTTTGCAAAAAGAAAAAGTCAGGGGTGTATGGTAGATGATCCAGATTCTCAACGAAACTTGTCGAATTGCGTCTGTGTTCTTGCCGCAACATGATGCGGAGCATTGTCGTGAAGCAGAACGAAGTCGCTAAAAAGAACGCGTTTTTGAATAGCTCGTCCAAACTTCAATTATAACTTCAACAAGCTGCTGGCGAATCTCATCAGCACTAACCGTTTTTATGTTCAGAAACCGAATTACCTCAGCGCACTTAACAATCGGCGAGCTTACCGATTGACATGATGACAAACAAAGTAGAATAAGTTAAAAAAAGTCAAAGTCATTTACGTAAGAGATTTTTCCGCGAGATCCCGTAGTCAGTGACTCAGGAACAGATGGAATTTCCTCTTCCTCTCGGAAGATTTGATAGTTTCAAGTTACACCGGGAGTGGTTAGATGGCGCATGTTGTGCAAAATGTTTGCTTTAAGCTCCTTGATAAACTTAGCTGCCTCTTTGAATCTGAAATAAAAAGACCGATCGTTTTTTGTGCCATGTACATGTACAGTTTTTTTTTTTAAAAACGCTCAGACCCGTCGATTTTGTTTTGAGGGGGACACAAGTTTGGCAAAAAATCACGTTAACACGTGCAGCCCCCTGGGCGGGGGTGACACCAACCCTAAAATCTTAAATAGAGGGGGGGGTCGAGTGATACATTATCTTAAAGGTCTAAAGGTTTTTCAAAAACTGAGCTGCCAGTAAATGCGTCTGTTTCGTTTTCGATGCGCCACCCTGTATATCAATAAAATCAACCGTTTGATATAACAAGTGCTGTTCCTATATCTTCGATGACCTTCTCCCTCGTCATTTAAAATTAGGTGGTCCTGTTCCTTCATTTATGATTTGATAATTTAACTCAATTTTCGGCACTCCGAACACTAATTTTCAATTGAGATGTCTGTTTCTTAAATGACATTGACATAAGACCTGTTACCCGCCAGTTCCTCACCGACGTTAGGGGGTTAGCCGTACCACGTGATTTTTTGACATTTGGATGACGTCACATCCATCTTCCCCTAATCCCGTTCTTCGCGAAAATTTGACTATCAGTTTCCGGTACAGCACTGTGCTACACCGTGGACTCGCGAAAAAATGGTATTTACCATTTTGGATTGGTATTTACCGATCCATTCAAGCGAGTATGGTGATCAGTTTGGTTATAAGATCCGTGACGTCATGAATCAGCTTTTATATGTCATAGTTATCAGGAGTAGTTTTATATTTCTGGTTATTATTTGAATTGTGACAAGTTAGAATTTTGCCGGGTATTGGATATTTTTATTGTACTTCAGCTTCATTTTTGGGAAACTCGATACAGGCTGACTTCAGTTTTAGCATAAAGTGAGCACCTTATTAGTCATAATCATTACTGTTGTTAGGGACACTAGTTCCTATGCTTAACGAAGTATCCTGTGTAGCCATATACCACAAGAATATTAAAATATGGCCATATAAACTCACTGGATGATGTCCACCTGTATACGGTTTTGCTAATATCATTCCTGATAAATCAATAAATGTTTTCTTTGACATGCGGAAAAGTTTAGAGAATTGAAAGTTATCTTGGCTACAAAGCCTTTGTTCCATCATTGAAATTTTTTTTATGAAAGAAAACATTTCTCCCATTAATATTATATAAGGTTTCTTTTATAAACTTTCCATACACCGTTGTAGATGAAAAAGCACCGATTATTAAGTAATAATAAAAATTATCAGAAATTATATACACGCTTTTCGAAAATAAACAACTTGCAACAAAACCGCGGTTAAAACTAAGGCGTTCAAGCGACTCGAGTAACTGGCGTCATCAACCCCTATCATCTTGAGCCATATTATAACCGCGGTAAATAACATAGAAATTTTTATTATTCGCTTGGATTTGATTTGTTTTTCACTCAAAAATACACCAGTATCGTAGAAACTTCGAACTGATGGCCTCTAAAGAACGAGAAAAACATACACCCAACTCTAGTTGCTTCTTTGAAGTTATCTAATATCAAAACTTATAGACCCTGGTCGCTTGGGATACCAAATAAATATGGACAGCAAACATTGGTCATGGATAAATGTTGTCACAGCTTGACGGTTTCCGCATGGTATGTGGCAACACCGCGCCGATCACCTTCCGTTCGCGGATTCACATTCAGTGACAGGACGGACGACACGACGTCGCCGTCGTTCAAAGTCAACTTTTGAACTCCACGTAACGTCGAATCGGCGAACACGAATGTGAGCACTTACACGTAAGTGTCAGAAACTCATTTTTATTTTCGTTCGTGAATGTTCGCATGGTCTAAGCTGATAACCAAAGTGCGTCTACTCCGCGCAACTATATAAACAAACTTTGCCGATTTGGTGGGTCAGTCTTTTGCGAACTTGATATCGCGCGAAAATATTCGGCCGCGCTCCGATCAAATCGTAGTGGACACCCCGCTGGATTACTAGTGGATAACGGACCCAAATTGGATTTTTCTCACAGATAACAGGTAGGTTGAACCTTATTCAAGTAAAATCAATGAACTTTGCCAGACTTGGAATCCAATAAGAATATTTTAGAGCTTTTGACACCACATCACTTCAACAAAATTTTTTTAGTTTGTAATATAGGGCAGATGTCAAAACCTTTCAAAGGAACTCAAACAATTAGAATGCAGGAAATGAAAAGTATATTTTTGACACAACACTCAACTCTGGTTTCTCCCTCAAGATAGGAAACTTAACACCCCTCAACATTTGACTCCAAAAAAATTCGGTGATGTCGAAAAACCAAATTTGAAGGTTTTTATTTTTTTGTGAATTTTAATTGTTGATCATAATTTTCCGCTACTGGGCCGATTAAAATAACATGCAGCTTTCTGGATTTTGTCTTATAGTGATACTTTCCGAGTTGTACCTACATTGTGATTAAAAAAAATAGTGGCAAAATATTTCCAGAGATTAAAGTACTTCCAAACATAGGGTTACTTAATGATAGCCCGCAATAATAAGTATAGGAAACAGATACAGGTAGAAAAGTTCGTATAAACATGTGCTAACAACATGGGCGCCCGCATGAACTTTTTTCAGGTGGGTGATCATCGGCGAGAGAACTTTTTGTGAAGGTGTACCTGTCCTGAAAACTTTTTGAAGGGCGAGGGGTAGCAAATTTTCTCAGGGGGGCAAATCCAATAAATTGCAGGCAAAATCATGCTAAATATGCAAATTTTAAGGAGGGTGAGCGGCTAAGATACAGGGAGTCAAAATTTAAAAATGTTTACCATTTGACATAGGAAGAATAACAGTAACCTGTCACGATCAAACTTGATTTGTTTTTATTTTAAGTTTTTCCACGCATGTAATGGAGTTATTTTTAATTTTTCTCAAAAACGAAAAAAGAGCCGAAGATATATATTGAGACACAAAAGTTGTGGGGTGTCGGAACTCCAATATTTCCGAATTTAAAAATAATTCGAACGTGTTTTCGAATTTGCAGACAGACATTTTTAAAAGAGGAGAAACGAATTTCAAGAATCATAAAAGTGTACTTTGAATAAATGTCTGCTGAAATCAGAATACTGAATTGAAGACGAAACACAAGTAGTAGATATACTTAATAGGTTATCCAAACAAGTGTCTATAATAAAACACACTGCAGTCCTTAGGAGTAACTACTTCCCCTAAAGATAGATGAGTGCCCTTTTCCTAGCACTTGGTTAACAAAGCCCCCCGTACTTTCTAGGCTGTCTCACAAAGTTTACCTCCAGTCCAGCATTCAATGAATCAGCCAATAATTTTCGCTGCATCATCCAGCATAGATATATTGTAGTATCACTTTTTATTGCAATCATTACGGGAATAATGAGGATGTAGGAGTGTAGCATAATAATTACGTATTTAAATTCATATAGGTACATTTTATATACAACTTATCTGCGATGGCAACAACCACATTATAAATACGAATACTTCGTTCATATTCATGTTATTCAAATCATATCACTTTACATGCGTTCTTTTTAATTACCAGGTGTAATTATTTCAATTGTTTTTTAGTAGCAACCAGGTATGCCACATAGAAACAGCAGAATTCAGTAAAACATAGCAGATCGGTGTTTAAATACCCAACAATTTGGGCAGATCTTTCCATTTTTCTCATTTGATTTCCTGAGTGCATCAATTTTCCAAATAATGCACATTGATACTCATTCTACTACAATTATGAGTTTTTCACTCTAGACAAGAAATGATTAAATAAGCTTTTATTTGGCTGTTCGTAAGATGAACCAAAAGCTTGAAAATATTTTTCCGATTGGAAATATTTAAACAATAATGCAGCTCCTTTATCTGCAGTTTTCAAATAAAAACGTGTTTTGCCCTTTTTCCATCCTGCTGTCAAAACGTAACACTAATCTATTTGAAAACTTGAGTTGAAGTAGGTTCCTGATCGTTTAAATACATATTTACAAAATTATTTTTCAAACTTTTAGTTCATTTTCTGAACAGCTAAATAAAAGCTTGTTTTTCAAAATGTATTTTTTAATTCTTTGTACTTTTTAGTATTGATAATGTCAAATAACCAGTTTGGTAATTTATGTATAACTTTCATATATTTTATTAGTAGGAGTCCATAAAAAGTCTTACTTTATTTGTACTATAAAACTTCGGTACCTAGTCATAAATCATATAATGATCAATCAATATTTTACGACGATCGCCATATGGAATTTGGATTAACGGTTTTTGCTTACCGCGTTTCTCTCATCAAGTCCTTTCATTTGATATCCGTATTATAGCGATGACCATGGATATTATAAATCAGAATGACACCGCGTTGCTTGTTATGTTTCTCTCATAAAGCCCTTCGATTTTATACCTGTTACATATCGGTGGCTATTATAATTATAAACGCCATCATGGGGCGGTCACCAGTGGCGGCGGAGTAAAAAAAAAATTTGTAGAGGTTGACATTTTGGAGTTGGGGGTGAGGGACGGTATATAAAAAATGTTTCTCACAACCGCGGTGGTTCTATGCACCTATTAGGAACAGTTCACACATCATACCCCGTACATTTGCCTTTAAAGCTTAGAAGGATAGAGAAATGTTTTCTATCCGCGTACTCCTGTTATATAAACTCACCGGCCAGCGAACCGCAGCGCAATGCACAAAAAAACCTATACACGGATCTCGCACGAAATTAACGATAGCTCGCTGCAACGTTGCCGCACTGGGCGCTGCCGCGCTGATGTGGAAAGGGACAACGTTGCCAGATAAACAGTATTTACCAGCAGGACAGGAAAAAAATGTATATGGAGTAATTATATGGGCCTGTTTACCTGAATGATTCCGTTTAATTTCTCTGTTGTACATGCAGAGTCAACCTATTTGACGCACTTTTTTTAAGCGGAATGTCTCATATTTGACTGGACATTCAGATAGATTTTTTGATATAAAATATTAGTTTTGATGAATACATGTTGAATTATAGCAACTGAATGTACAAGAACGCTTAACTCAACAGCTGATGATTTTATATTCTGGGGTCATAAGGAGATTCAGAATAAGATTCCAAGATTCCGTCGCCTTGTTGAAGTTTTCAACTGTTATCTTTTATGTTAATTTCATCATCGCGAGTTTCAGTTTAGTGACTTGACCCTTGAAAAAATTAAGCGCACAGTTGGTACCTTGTCGATAGTCTAAAGAGATAATAAAGAAGAAAAATATCATGGCGCAATTCCAATGATTATTTGGCTACTCTGTATGTGGTAAACATTCCAAAGCGCTAAAAGATCCTTCTCCAAAATGGGGCAATCAGAAAAAAATGTTGGCCAGCAATTATGACCCATATAAATCTTGATTACACCGCTTTTATCCTTGGCCTTGTATGACGTATTTAAACTTTTTTCTGTTGCTACTCTTTAGGTTAATCATGCTCGCTATTCAGAGAATTGAAAGACAATTCAAATATATTAATCGATTGAGTAAACAAAGGGTTACGTGTAATAACAAGAATGGCAAAGTCAAGAATCAAATCATAACGATTGTTTCATTACATGCTATTAGTTCTAGTGGTTAAACCTCTTAGTAGCAAATTACTTTCATTTTACAATAATATGTAGGCATTGGTTATATAATAACAAATGATACATACTTACTAGATATAAAATAATACGCAAATGTATAACTCTATTGTCATTGAGATCCTAAAGCTTAGAATGCGATAGGTAATAGATAAGTGATGATTCAGCCACAATGCAAAAGAAATACCGAAGAAAGCTTTGAACAATACAGTTATCAGTCAATCTGGTATAATCTGGGTATTTTTACTTCCTACGTCACTGGGCGATGAAGAATTATAAATTTCGGAAATATCATGTTTTTGGATGTTATATGACATGTACATCACGGAAAACCATGACACTCATTTACACCTGCTGTCAGCTAATCCTTTAACCGCCGATAACTTAAAAAATACCGCTCGGATTTTGATGAAATTTTAATTTCACCAAGGACGAAAAAATATGATCCTAATCATTTTTGAGAAAATGCTTAGGTGATAAAAAATTAAGAGGTGGCGGTTGTAGGGGGTGGAGAAGGCCATCTTGCAATTATTTAGTGTGAATGTAATTTATACGCTCCCAACTCTGGTAATTTTACGCAGCTATTAGCCATATTTTAAACATCATAGGTTTCCACGTACATTTGTCTAGAATGATAGATGAATGTTTTCGATACGCATCCATTCTGCGCCCGCCGACATTACCTGCTCGATTGTTCTGCTCGTACTGCGGTGATGCTTCGATGGGCACTGTCGCGTCGGACTGGAAAGGGGCAACGTTGCCAGATGGACGGTAACAACCGGTAGGGCAAGAAGAAATGTTTTTGGACTATTTGTTTGGACCAGTTTGACTGACTTGATCCATCCAATTTTACTATTGACATGTGCCTAACTATTTTTTTCTCAGAAGCCAAACTTCTACTGAACTTAATCCTTTATGGACTGATGACGGCGTTGCTTAGGAAGCGCAGCCAATCTACTTGATGCTATTTGTATAAAGCTAGAGACAGATGTTGTATTCTGCGAGAAGTAGACTCCTAACCCAGACCAATGTAGAACATTCTAGAATTGCTTGGATATACTCGTTTGTATAAAACTCAAATTGTTAATGAATATACATATAACTTCGTAATGAAATTGCGCCGTAACTAGTTATGTGTTCAAACTGAATTTTTTTCTTGGAAGCATAAATATTTTACAGTTCGCATTATTTTCATGACTCCTGTTCCTTTTTATTTAATTATAAACATTAATAAATTAGAACATCCTCCGCTTGGCACATGTCTATCCCTCGTGATGTTCAGGGTTCAGATTTTTTTACTTCGACATCAACCTTTCTCAAAGTACAAAAGCACTTATGATATAGTTTATGATCATCAATTACCACCATATTGAAAAGTCACTGAAACCTAAAGTATTATTCGGATAAAATTCAAGGAATGTATTCCAATGTAACATCTTTCAAAGCCTGTATTTTCTCCAAAGGTTGTAGGATAGTTGACTGTAGAAATCAATTACACTACTTGCTTTTCATGCTCGATATTCAGTGCTATATGTTTTTATCGTTTTGTAGTTAAAGACGAGAAACATTTTTAATACGATGTTCAGAATTTGTATATGAAATAAAGTCGAACAGGAAATAAGGTGTTATAATGTGGTGATCAAGTTACTACATACCCATAATTATTGCAATTTTGCTATGTAGCTTTTAAATACGGTGTCAATTACTATGATAAAGTGGATAATAACATTAAATGTAAATTACTTACTTTGTTAAAATTCGTGACAATTTTAGCTGCGGTTAAAATACCTAAAACAAATCAAATTGGGTGTTAATAAATAACTATTTTTATTATCCTTGATTGTGATTTTTTGAAAAGGTCTTTTCATAAACTTATATTATTTATGACGTTGTTATATGTTGCGAGCTGCAGCCTTTGTACAGACAAATTGAACTTTGAGGTGGTGATAAGCAGCTATTGTATCCTAAATCATTTTATTGAAATTGTATTGTTCGCTAGAGAACAACCAATAAGATTAGATTTGAATTTTGGATACTGTTGAAACATTACCATTAATTTCACATTTTCATGCCTTTAATTATACTGAATTGAATTCTAATAAACACACGTGGGTGTTTACCTCTTTATGTGACTCAGTATATTTGGCACGTTTCCTACCTGTTTCCAGGAGAAATTTTTCCAACGGGTTGTTATGCTTCATTAGCCTAACGTCACGAATGTCATACGTCAAACTACTGAATCAAGAAATTTATCAATTTTTGAAGAGCTTTTTATAGTGAATACGACCACCAACAACGGTAGAAGTAAATAAATCTTACCCCTAAATATCACAGCAACGGAAATCCTATCATACTTAAATTGTCGATAATAGAACCTGATTTTTCACAGTCTGCCCCTGGCAGTACTCTGTGCTATAGGTCCTTTCACGGTTTTTAGGGGGTCATAGTAAAACTGGAGAGTGGTTTTTGGCTTGAGAGTGATACGCTCCCGACCTGCTGCAGAAACAATGCATGAGAATACGTGCAGTGAAACGGTTACTCCGAGTTACTCAGAGTAACTCAACAAGGTAACTGGAAAGCAGCACTTGAATGACTTTCATACATCCATCTACCTCACACATACTTTTGTATGTATAAGCTCAAAGACATACATTTTTTTAGTTTTCTCTCACTGCCTTGAAAATGTTGTCAAGTATTCCACATTTATGCTTGTCACTGTCAGTATGACAACTTTTTGATATTTGTCTCGTGTCATCCATGAATCCATGATAATATTACCACAACTATATAGTTATCCCATATATGGTGCTCTGGTTAAAGTTGACTGCCACTTTAGGATATTGAAAGCGCTTTTTGGAAATTAACTTCTGGTTAGCAGACAAGTCTCAGTTATCTTACGATTGAAAACCCGGGCCTTAGTCAGGTTGTTTACTTATGTGGTATGACATTGTGACGTAATAGCTAAAGACCGTGAAAGCGTGGAAAAACGTCACAACTGAAACTATCACGTCACAGCTTTGGCGCGAAATTTTACATTTGTACCTTGGAAGGCAAGTTTTGTCACAGTGAACATACTCTTTTTGGTCGCAAAATATTGACACTCTAGCAAAATCAAAATTTTGGAAAATACCTCATTGATTTCACTAAGTTTCATGAGAAGATCCAATAACTATTCAGACGGTAATCCACCTTAAGCATTTTAAAAAGCTATCGTTACAACGTTCCTATCTTAATCATAATTTGTCTTAGTTGACAATAGTAAATAATTGCTATTCTACTGCCAACTTAAAAGATAACTAAAGAAATAATGTTTCTTGTACTTTGACATTACTTTTATCTTTGCATACAAATTGTATTGTCAGTAAGACGATATTTTCTCAATATATGCAAATGTACATTTTGTCTTCAGCTGAACACATTGAAAATTACGAAATGTATATTTATGCATTTACAAAGTAAGCTCTTGTATTTCATCCGTTAACTCTGAACTCCTTTTCCAACAGTCCTGGAGATACTAACAGTCCAAATATGCAGCTTTTACTGGCAGAGCAACTCATTTCCAACGGAGTCGACAGGCGACAGGTATACGTCCAACATTTTATCTGATTCCCACCTCTCTTACTCTGCTTTTGTAAATCGCTTTTTCCATATGGTGGAGTTAATTCAAGTTCTTCTTGATTCTCTTTCCTCTCAATTTCTTGCTTCTATTCTGGTAATCTTGGTGTCTGGCTGATATTTTTATGCTGAACGGTTTTCTAATTAAGGTAAGTCGTTATTGATAGTGATGTGCTAACCGACGTTCTTTTCGAAGTATAACCAATGATACCTCCAGTTCAAAATCTACACCAAATAGTATTTTATGGATGCAATGCAGCCTGAAGTCTGCAGGTCTATACCAATATGCCACATCTAGAGATTCCATAAAATTGTACCAAAACAATGCAACGAAGCCAAAAGTAGACCTCTCGACTTCGGCCTGAAACCATTGCATTTTCAATAAAATCTAAACAGGCTCATGTTGCCTTCACATGTCAAATAAACGATGCTAAAGTCATCTACAAAATATTATTACTAACCAATACCAACAGTAATAAAAAATGTTCATTTTATTGTGGTGATGGCTTGATTTGAATGAAAAGCAGGCCAATAAATAACCACGTTGTTGTTCTAGTAGTATTTAAGGATAATTAAAAAAATATTGCTTGAATACGACCCAAAGAATTTGTCACCGAGGAATGCTTGGAAGAACAGCTTCGAACTTGAAATATAAAAAAAAACAGATGTCTTTCTTTTTTATTTCGCTATGGAAGAGTCGGAAAGTTTACAAACAAGTCCAAAGTTTAGTATTTTCACCGGCACAAAAAAATTGCATGAGGCTAAAATGATCGAATACCTGCAGTGCGCATAAACCTAGTTTGGGGGTGTCCAGCACGTGTCTGGCTACTGACGTCACGCGGTCTAGTCTCGCGTACAGGTACGTTTTCTAGCCTCGCGTCGATCCATGATTTTAAAATGCTTTCCGTCGACGTAAATATTAATATTTTGCACGCAAATTTTTTTGACCGTGTTTTAATCACAAAATTTTAATTAAAATAAGAGACATTCGAAAAATGTCGAACCTTCCTATTGTGTGTGATGCCTTTATGGTCTCCTTGATTTTCATAGTTTTCTACTGTTCCGTGTCAGCGTTCTATTTTGTGCTTATGTTACAAATATCTATTTGCATCAAGTTAGTCATGCTTTTGATTTATATCACCTGTTATATGAGTCTGAAATTTCTGACAATTCGAAAACAAAAAATAGAGGGCTGACGCTAACTTGGAACAGTAGAAATCTAGAAATACCCCAACATTTCTAAAGGAGAGAAAAGACTATGAAAGTCAAGGAGGCCATAAAGGCGTCTTAAAACTGTAGGAACAACGGACGATACGGCCCTACATGGGTCGGATGCCTGATATCATTTTTTGGCGGTTGGTCAAGATTCTCTCGCTTTTCATTGAAAATATCATTTTTTTCTTTTGAAGTGTAAACGGATACCCATGATCACATGACTTAACGGGAGCAGTCACAGCAAGAAGAAACAGTTTTGCAACAAAATTTTAAAAATAGTTTTCCATAAAAGTCTAAATATTGTTAAATTGATCTTGAATGCAAATATCGTACACTGTAGCATTGGTACTTTTCGAGTAATTATTGACAAAACATTGTCAAACTCCAAGACAAAAATGTTGGGAATTTTCAAAACAAAATCTAAACCATAACATCATACTAGCATATACAACTCCGAACTATCATCAGAAAATAGATATTACTTAGATTATAATGAATTTGTAAAACGTGATGAACCACCTTAAGCGGTACTATTCCTTGTTTTAGGCAAAGAGCTCCCAAGAAAAGATGGCGCCGAAGACCTCAATTCCCACAGGCGTTCTACACGAGCAAGATGATGAAGTCATATTAAACCAGATACCTCCAGAAGTTGTCAAACCCAGTGAAAGAAAAGTGGAACTAGTCTGGAGGAACATCATTCTGTTCGGTTACCTTCATCTGGTAGCTGTTTACGGGCTCTACAGAATGTTCACATCTGCCAAATTGTACACTTCCATCCTGGGTAAGTAGTGCCTAGATCTAGTCAGGGACACTTTCTCAACCTATGACCAATTAGCGCGTCTCCCTTTTTTTCCTTTTGAAAATACTTTTATTACGTAAACAGCAAACACAATATTATAAGAAATACAAATATAATTGCGGAAAATGTATTTAATTATTAGGGTAGATGGAAAGTTATGCGGATTTTAAAGTGAGTACTTGAGTTTACATATTTCGGAAAACATTTATTTAAGCAAAGATATATTGAGTGGCGGATCCAGGGGATGGAGAAACCCCCGGAAATGACAGAGTTTAAAAAATTGCATGTTTTTCAATTTGCGATGACCCAACCACCTTTCTGTTCTTCAATTTTCAATCTGCGGTAGTCGGAAATCCTCCTCAACATGAATCCTGAGCTCCTCACCCAGCATTTTTTTTTCATATGAATCCCCCCTGAAAATATATATCCGCCCCTGGATATGTCCCAACTAGCAAAGTAGTGGTATAAGCTTTTGGTAAAAGAACCGTTCAGCCATAAAAGCTCTCTATTGTTGTTGCCTGAACACCAAAATGCTGGCTTAATGTTGTGTGGAATGCAAATTTACTTTCTGCTACATATTTGCTCTAAAATGTGTGTTTAAAATATTCTTATAGCATAGTTATACAACATCTTATAGGGCAAACTTTTAACTGTTGCATAAACGTTTATACAACTATTTTATACGGCATATTTGCACGTTAGTCAAAATGGTTGTGTTGTGGCATCCATGGTAACGTTTATAAAACAAACCCGAGCCTTGTTGTTTTGCTGTTCGTTTTACTTCTTTAGCCAACAAATTGCTCAAAACGGAAGCACTTATACAACTGTTGTTTAGTAACTGTTAAAGGCTGTACATATGCTAAATATGTTGGTAAACAACTTCACCATAACCTAACTTTCTGCTGTCATATTTTTGTAAAATGCCATAACCAATGCATATTGGTTCAAAAGGTTTTATCAACTGTTCAAACAGAAGATATAGATCTGGTACAAATTCTGGGTAAATCATTCGACTCTGTCGGTATTTCATTTCAGACATTTGTCAAATTGTTGTATAACACCTGCAGGCAACACCAAAATATTCTAATAACCTAAGGACAACATGGACGATGCCATGATTGTACACAACCATCTGCCATATTGGGCAAACATTTATTCCTCTATTTAATATTAAATAATTATGTTTCAGTTCGAAATTACAGATATAAAGAAATAAACATTAGTGTAATTGTATCTAAATATAGGATTTGTGGAAGATTTAACGCAGATAAGTTCAGTTTTCCATCTTCAAAATCTAGACATACTTTTGATCATTGTCAAAATATGAATCAAATACGAAGCCCGTAGAAATTGGGTAACTAATTTGCACGATAATCACAATAAAATTTGCTGCGCAAGTAATTCAATAGCCCTATATCACAGTTTATCATATACCTGTGTATGAAATTCACAATGGCCGATATGTAAATAAACAAGATGACTGTAATGTGTTAGTTATATATTCTTCACTTCATCTATGCAATACATAAGAAATAGTTTGGTTGCAATAAAGTAGAATCACGTAACAGAATAGTTGTATAGTTGACAAAAACTGAATCTTGCAATGACGCAAGTGTCCTATAGCGGCTGCAAGAGGCTTACACTTTTGTTTTATAACTGTTACCTGCAGCCCTTATACAACCTCTTAAATGACTGAAGTGTCCTATTAGGTGTGCCCATTCCGCTTGTATGGCTGTTCTAAGAGGGTTTTGCCAATGTTCTTACAGTATACAATGCTGTTTAAGGAATACTGTATAATCATTCTTGCAACTCTAATAGGAGTGATAATTGTTATATAGTTGGAGTTGACCATCTGATTCTGTAATTCTCCACCTAAAATACGACTCGCATAAAACAAAATTTGGAAAAGGGATTTCGGATAGTCTCAATGAAGTCGATTTACCTATCAAGGTTGTTCACTGAACGGAACGGAATGAAAATCGGATAGCTGTTGGTTTGGAGAAAGCTACATCCGAACCAAAGATGTGCAATTTCCATTTTGTAATAAAAAGGGATCCTATCATTGGGATTCTAACAAGTTTTTTTTTTTTATTTGAAAACTTGAGTTGAAGAAACTTCATTATCCTTTAAATATTTCCAATCGGAAAAAATATATTTGTAAATTTTTAGTCCATATTATGAACAGCTAAATAAAAGCTTGTTTTTAAAGATTTTATTCATTTTTAACACTGAGTATAATTTTCACCAATTTCCAGAAGTTTGATTAATCTGAAACTTCGCACACGTATCAAGGATCAATAACAATGCAATATCATGACAGAAAAAAATAATTGATAAGTCAAACTAAAAAATGGAAAATTAATAATAGTTATACAAACCAAAAAAAACACGCATTTATACCTAACCGAACTAAAAAGTAGAAAATAATTTTCAATTACAAAGAGTAGATGGCCGAACAATCAATCATAACTAAATATCTCGAAATAAAATTATAATAAAATTTAAGTTATTAACAGAATAATTCAATTCAGAGTGAAAAGAGTGGGGTGCATTTTATTACATTTTCATAACTCTCATCTCATAGATACTTGCCAATTGAACTATTTTGTTGATAACTTAAATTTTATTATAATTTTATTTTGTGGTCATTAATTATTAATTGATTGTTCGACCATCTACTACTGTAATATAAACTCTTTGTAATTAGAAGTTATATTCTACTTTCTAGTTCGGTTATCTATAAAAGCGTGGTTTTTAGTTTTGTATAACTATTATTTATTTACTTTTTAGAATTCATGATGTCAAATAACTAGTTTGGTAATTTCTATATAACTTCCATGTTGCATCAATAGAACTCTTACTTTATTTGTATTATGTCACGCAAATGTGGAGTAAACTCATCCAGTCTTATGGTGAGGCTCATGTCGTTGCTCTTGGCATCACGACACCGTTCGATCAGCTGTGGCACGCTGCCCTCTTAAGCAAACTTCCATAGTATGGCCTCCCAGAAAAGCTTCGCAGATGGGTGGCTGACTTTATCTCTGGCCGCAAGATATCCGTCGTAATTGACGGGTTCTCCTCTTTATCCCACAACGTCAACGCGGGTGTTCCCCAGGGATCGGTCTTGGCTCCGACACTGTTTCTCTTACATATTAACGACCTCCTTTCCTGCACGAGCAACCCAATCCTAAGCTTCGCTGATGACAGCACTCTACATGCAGGAATTCAGAGTGATAATCCGATTTCTGCCGCTGAGCTGGAAAAAAGAAGGCTAGCGACAACTTCCTCTCTGTCACTGCTTGGGGACGCAACAATCTTGTCCAGTTCAATGCTTCCAAAACACAGTACTGTACAAAGAGCCATTCAATTCGGCTGGCCTGAGTCCAGATCACCGAGGACCTAATCTGGCACGGACACATCTCGTCAATAGCTGCAGCTGCTGGGAAAAACCTCTGCTATTTGTTTAGGGCTAAGAAGTACTTTTCTCCGCATGACCTTATCATTCTATACAAAGCCCAGATAAGGCCTAGCCTCGAGTATTGCTCACACGTATCGGGTGCTGCCGCCCCGACTACATTATCCATGCTCGATGCTGTCCAGAGGAGGGCGACTGATCGATGACTCTTCTCTAACAGACAGTCCCGGGACTCTTTCGCACCGGCGGGCCGTCGGCGATCTAGCTCTTTTCTACCGTTACACCAACGGGCTTTGCTCCTCAGAGCTCTCTTCCATGATGCCGCCGCGCGATATGCCTGCCAGACAGACCCGCCTGACTTTGGCGTCCCATCCTAACCGTGTCGAACTTCGTACATCCAGAACTGGCCGATACGACCGATCCTTTGTCCCGAGGGTGTCAAGATTGTAGAACAATCTGCAAGAGGAAGCTTTTCCCAGTTCTACTAACCTTAGGCAGTTCAAAAATCGTATTAACAAAATTTCTTTGGGATCATCATAGCAGCCGCGGTGTTCCGGCATTTAGGCGTCTGCCTGCTCGGCTGCTTCGATATAAAAAAAGAATTACGATGTAATCATATGATTTTCGCCATATAGAATTTAAAATGCTTATCTCTGGCTATGGAAATTATAAATCGCCATTTTGCGATTACCGCCATAATGGATCTAGAATGCCTTTACTTTGCTTATTATATTATTCCCTCATCAAACCCATTCATTTAATTTCCGTAGTCTAGGGGTAACTATGGAAATTATAAATCGCAATTTGACGATGGCCGCTAAGTTGTATTTATAATGGCATCACTTGCTGGTTATATTTAAAAAATAAATTAACTAATTCAAAATTCAGTTCCTAGGTTTGTCCCGCACAAACAAACAGGCCAAGATATAAAAGCTTTTAATAAAATAATAAAAATAAACTGACAGTTTCAGTTTGCACTAATAATATGGCTGGTGTTTGCAATTTCTATATACCTCTGCTAGCTGTCTGCAGTGTCTGCCCGGAGTCTTACCCTGGGAACGTGCAGGGGCCACTAATAAAGTAACCAAATTTACCAAGCATGCAAGTCGGCTGTCAGTTTACTAACTCCATTAAAGATTCAAACCGTAATCTTGAGATTTATAAACTTACTTAAAAACAATGTTTTATGTTAGTAACAATTTTAAGCGTACGAAGTCGCGGGTAACATCTAGTGCAAAATGAAACGTCACAGTCACAGATTGAGTGGGGCGATGGCAAGCCGCGCTGTTGCCGGCTTGACGCTGACGGCGGAGATTTTGCTACTTGCGGCGACAGTTAGGTTACAAAATCGAAGATGATTTCAGGAATAAAACCATGTCTATATCCTTTCTCAGGTATCATTTTTACGTATATCCGTATTGTGGTTCAGGCAAGATGGTGACGGACTGGATAGACATTCGCTTTAAAAGATAGAAAGAATGTTGAATCCTCAAACACATATACGGTCAAGTCAATGTATCTCATATTTGCATCAAAATTGTATGCTCTCTGTTAAGCTGCGTGTAAG